CCTTCTTTCTTTCCACACTGGGGACTGAACCCATGGCCAACGTTCTAATGGGCTACATCTCCAACCCTTATTTTTTTAAAAATTTATTTATTTATTTGTTTGTTTATTTTTGAATCCGGGGCCTTTGTACCAAGCTCATCCACAGCGCATTTTTTATTCTGAGACAGAGTCTAAGCAAAACACTAAGTTGCCTAGGATGGGCTCCAACTTGGAATCCTCCTGCCTCAGTCTCCCAGTGTGCCACCATGCTAAGCTCTTATTTTTAATGATTACATTTAGTCATAATTTTAACAGAAGAATCAAATGGTAACCCTTAAACATGTGGTGAAAATTTAGGATTCCTGTTCTGACAAAATGTAAATGATGGTGTTTTAACAGAGACTGGAATAATAAGTACAGATTCCAACTGTAGCAAAAGACTTTGGCATGGGAGTTGTGACTCTGAATGATAAGTAGTATTTCCACATTTATGTGTTGATCCACTGCATTATACTTTTTGCCCAGGATCACTAGTAGCCATGTCCCACAATAACTCTCAACCTCAGGTACATGAAGACTCTGGGGCCAAATTACTGCCTAAAGTTAGCTAGTTGGTGATGAATACACACTTTGTTTCCTGTCTCTCATTTGACAAGTGTGGCATAGAGCCCAGGAAAGCTGTGTTCTGAGGACCCATTAGGTTTGGAAACTCACATCTAGAAAAATTTTAAAGCTTCCTTATACCTTTACATTTTAGGGATACTCATTAGTGATAAACTTACAGATTGTGATGACTGATAGTCCATCATCTATGAGACATGCTTAAGATTTGTTTCAGTTGCACCTATATTTTAGTATCATGAAATCTCCTAAATTACTTTGTATAAATGCAATTAGAAAGACGTGTACACTTTCTACATACCCATTAACATTTAAATCAGTATTAAAATATGGCAGCAATGTGAGAAATAATCTGAACTGTCTATAGGTACTGTGTATATTACAAATAAACAAAAGGCTGCGAGTATTATGTATACCTACATATATTATTCCCAGCACTAGAGACTATCTCTCCTCTAGGTCTAAATTCACACATTACAAGGACTTTGCTGCTAAGCCTAAACTGCTGAATGGAAAACAACATGATCCACTTTGTAAATGAGAGAATCTTACGGCTGTTTCTGGAATCTTACATACTTTACACAGTCTTGAGAGACCATAATTTTTATTGACATGCTTTTGTTGCTTATGGAAGAAATCATTCATAAATAACTGCATCATGATTAAATTTCACTGTAAAATCTATTGCTGAAATAGCTTTATAGCACTTGAGATTTGACAGTGCAATAACATAACTGGGGGAGGGACTCTATTTCCTGGACGCCATGAGGTGAGCAATGTCCCTTGCCATGAGCTCCCCTCATGACATATTGCTCTACCACAGGCCCAAAAGCAACAGACAAATCATGGACTGAAACCTCCAAACTAAGAGCCCAAATAAACCTTTCCTCCTTACAATTTATCTCAGCATTTTGTCACAGTGATGGAAAGTTGCCCAATACAGATGTCACTCATATCAAAACAAATCAAACCACAATTTATAACAGCAAATCTAGAAGTGTTGTGCTGACTCTGCATGTTGTTCATGGCATGTAATGCAGTGTACTCTGAATCTTCTCTGAGAAGAGTGAAAATGGGGTCTCAGAATAGGGTTAAGTTAATCCCTACCATTAATGAATTTTCTGGATCATGTGGAAGCTATGTATAATAAGCTATTCTTTTCATCAAGATTATTTAAGAGCTTATGCATCCTTCTCTAGATTTAGGTTTCCTTAAACCTGGTATTTATTTTGGCTGAAAATTCATCATTTGCCAATCACTGAGGCCCAGTACAATACTTCCTGCTTTAGTAACTGATACGGACTGATTTAAGATTGACTGCTTTAATGTTTACTAAACACCTACAGGTTACTACTTCTTCACATTCTCCATATTTCATATATTGATTTGGCTAATGGAGGGCAGAAAGTAGGCAAATATTTTGTGACAGATTATTCTGCGGTACTCTGAGAGGCTTGGAAAATGATTAGGATCAGGATTAGAGGGTTTTTTATTTTATAAAATATTTTTTGAGCCTTCCTATTTAATCCATATAAAAACACTATCACACTGCAAACGTAATAGGCCATCTCCACACAGCAGTTGAAACTTGCACTCTTAAAATGCCACTGGCCTTAACATTAACTTATTTTGTTTCTTTCATTTAAAAGCTTTCTAGCTATGTTATATTGAACATATAACCAACTGCCCAGCAATAGATACATTAGACTTTACTAAGTAAGCCTCATTGCTAGTTTTTAGAGACAACATAGTTTTAAAATTTCATATTTGATATGGTACATAGGTAATATGTTACTTATTTTGTTCATATCCTCTTGTGGAGCTTTCAAAATCAAATCTGTACAACAAATATATTTGGGAGGTAAAATCTAGACCCTTTATTTCTTCTCAATTTTCCTAGGGGATTTTTAAAAAATTCAAATTACCATTACTATTCTTTTCCTAGTAATATAGGCTTACTTCTTAAAGCTAGTGAATACAGAAAATAACAAAATAAATTAAAAACCTTTTTGGTTTTAACAAAAATGTGGTAATTTAATACTGTTTATAATATGTTCTCATAATCATTATGATTTTTTAATTGTGGTATAGAATTTAATTATATGAAGATTTTTCTAATTAGACCAATCCCCTCACTGATAAAGAGCTCACAACATTTTCTTTTCTCAATGTTTTATGGCTCAACATAATATTCTTGTAAACACTCTAGAGCCCATAATCACAGACTCTATATTCTGCTTCTCAGGATAATTCAAATTGAAAGATCTCTTAGCAATTAACTCATGTTTAAAATGAATCTGACAAAAAGTTTTTAAATCCTTAACTTTTACAAAGGTTCATCATGCTGAGTAGACGGAATGTAAGATGCAATTTAGAAAATAGAAATGTATGCTAAATTCAATTTATCTAGCAATGGTCCTTCCCTCAAAACACTTAGCAAGTCTTTCCAAATGGTGTGGAACTACCTTATGGATACCCAGGGATTCCTAAGTCAGAAACAAAAGTTTCTTAAGAATGTGCTCACAATTAGCAAAAATATGGTAAGTTCGTGCTTTCTGTTCATTCAGTGAACTTTTCAAGTTGAGAGTGAACCAACAAAAGATGGCAGATGAATTAGATATCAAACTATTCTTTTGTGTCATACAATGTCATTTGAATTCAGGTAGTTTTGCATTTCTTACTACAAAATTAGGGACTCTTCTCTAAAGGATTCTGATATTGCCTACTGGGCTTGCTGGATGCCATCTGATGGTTTTGGGGTGCACAGTATTCAAGTATTTGAAAAATTAAGTTTTAAAACTTGTACAAAATGTATGTGATACGATAAAAAGATGCAAAGAATGTTGAAGAAGATTATTTCAGTAAAAGACACACTGCCATTTATTTCCCTCAAAATATTCCCTCTCACCTGAACACATTTACCCCATTCTTGACACTTTCTGAAGTAGTTCTGGAAGTACTCTTTCATGAGGGTCTTTAGTTGCACCATCATGTCTGCCTCAATGTCCTGAATCAATTCAAACACTTACCTACCATGGTCATTTTGACTTTAGGGAAGAGCCAGAAGCTACACAGTGC